AGTTAGAAATTGAGAAAGACTTTGGCAAGCCGTTCAGTGTGATGAGCATTAAAGTCACCAACAACAATGTTATTGGCTGATGTATTAAAAAAGAGGATTTATCAGAAATAACATCAAAGAGAGTACATTCTTGAGATGAAAAAGACAAAGAACAAAGAGAAAGGCAATAAAGTGAAATGGTATGAAATGAATGCACATAAAAGATTAGTCTGTGGATTCAAACCTAGTTATCTTACAAACGGGTGAATTTTTACAAATGTAAATACCCAGGCCAAGCATGTGAATATTGATTAAAATTATCTAGCATTTTCAGTCATTAGAAGAAATGACAGTAGTTCAGCTCTTGTGGATATTTTGAAATATTTTTTCGTTATGTCTTGGATACTTAAAAGGTGTTATAATAGTTTCATAACATTTTTAAAATGTTTTATAAATTTAAATGGAGATACCACTTAAATATATCAACGGAGTTTATGTCACAGCATGACTTTACAGTGTGACCAGTACAAAATCTTTGAATGTTAAGACAATAACATCATCAAAAAGACAGTTGAAACAAAAGAAAGTTGAAACCAATTTATTCGGATTTTTATAAGATTAGTATTGCAATAACGTTTAACAAACAGTTTATTTACTTTTTATAAGAATTGTATAAACAACAAACATTCAGAACAGCTTCAGCAATGGCGCGACAAAATTTAAAAAAACTAAATAACAAAGGTGTTAGTAAAATATGTTTACATATTTACAGGTACACCTACAAGTTTAATAAAAAAAACAATGTTAGTTAAATTAAAGGAGGTTTCAAAACTTATCCACAAATAAAAAGCAATAAAAATACTACGAATGTTAAACCAACATGTTTTTTGCGTAACATTTTTATAAAAATTAGTTTTTAAACAATTTAATTTTAAAAAATGTTACACCGTGACATCACAATGTGACATAAACTTAAGACACATAACACAAAAACTAAAAATATTTAAATTTAAATATCAATTGATATTTATTGCCCTATTTTAGTTACTAGTAATTTATAAATATTTATAAAATAAATAAATATTCTTACACTAGAATGAAAAATTTTAATATTAGTGTCACGGCGTGACATGTCACAGCGTGACAAACTTAAAGAAAACCAATTAGAAGTTTCTCAATGAAAGACTATTTAATTTTTATAACAAATTTTTAATATATATATATATATATATATATATAATATATATATATATATATATTAAAATTTTAATATATATATATATATATATATATATATATATATATATATATATATATATATATATATATATATATATATATATATATATATATATATATATATATATATATATATATATATATATATATATATATATATATATATATATATATATATATATATATATATATATATATATATATATATATATATATATATATATATATATATATATATATATATATATATATATATATATATATTATATATATATATATATATATATATATATATATATATATATATATATATATATATATATATATATATATATATATATATATATATATATATATATATATATATATATATAAATATAACTTAAGAGTGCTTCAGGTCTTTCCCACCCCTCTACAAAATGATCTTAAATTTTGTTAGCAAGATTTCTTTTCATTATCTTATTACTGTTTTATTTTTCCTCATAGAAAATATACATTTAGATACATAGAAGTATAAAATATAGTGAAATATTTGCAAACATTTTCATATCAACCTTTTCTCTTTTTTTTAACTTTTTTTTTTAATTAAAAAGAAAGCAAAGCTGAAAAGAAATAACACTGCACTTTAAGCATAAGAACAGCATACTGAAAATGCAACAAAATGCATACTGAAATGCAACAAAAGTGTGACTTCTAAGCAAATCAGCAACTCAGAAACAAATATAAAAGTTCTTTACTGCAAAACTTCATCTCATAAGATTTTTTAGGCCCTTTTAGGAATTTCTTGTTGCTCTAGGCAATTGTCTATTTAATAATCCAGGTTTGTCTACGTATAACATGGAAATAACTCACTGTTAGTAACTAGCAATTAGTAAATAAAAACCTTCATCTTCTTAAACTTTGTTTACTACTTGTTTTTTTGTTTGTTGAGTCGTTTTTTTATTAAATAGTTAATAACAAAAAACCAATAATAAAAGACAACAGCTGTATTCATAAACTTTTTTAATAAACCAATAAAATAAAGAAGGTTAAGGTACAAACATACAATAAACAAAAAAGCAAACAATTGTTACAAAGATAATAAAATGGTTACAAAGATAGATAAGCTCATTAAAAAAAAGTTCACAAAACAAATTGGCTTACGCAGCTTGAACTAATAAAGAAACCACATAGAAGTTGATATTACTAACATTAAAAAGAATGTATTTTAGCCAATTACAGAACAGAAAAACTAGCAATAGTAACTAAGCATATTAATTTGAACTATTCATGTAAAGAGATGTCGGCAGAGACAAGTGACAATTGTGAAAGTACATTTTATCTTCACAAAATAGTAAGTTTTACTATAAGTGTTCATAAATAGGGGATTTTACAAAATAGAGTGTTCAATATTAAAAAAAAAAAAAAGAGTAATAATTAATTTAATTTGTATCTTAAATTATATTTTAAATTTCTACTGCTTCTAATAATGCACTTTCTCTATTAGAAAAAGTCCAAAAATGCATTGTAAACATAGTTAGACCTGCTTTATCTGCCAAGCTTGACCCTTTCTCCCATCATTGTAATGTTTTAACCTAAAGCTTTTAAGTATTCTGTCAATCATTTCCTTGCTCTTTAACTATATTCTTAGTTTTCTAGTAACTCCCAACTTAATGGTGGTTGCTTGCAATGTTTTTTTTGTTTTTTTTTTATTGTAGTTCACCTCCCCGAGACCGAGGAGGCTACTACAGGCAAGGAGGCTACTTGTAAATATAACCTTCACACAACTCTGTAACTCCGAAATACGAACTGTGACAAACTAGGCCTGTGGAGAGAAACAAGTTGAGCGCGGTACTACCAAGGATGTGGTTGGAATCAAACTCTGAAGCTCTCGCTTATGAAGCAAGCACCCCTACTATTACACCACTACTGCATATAAAAAAGAATAAATTTTTTTTCATTTTATCTTAAATTAAATAGAAATTAATCATAGCATTTAAAATTTCACCAATAAATCATTTGTTGTTAAAAAGTTTTAGACATTTCCATTTACCCTGATAAATGACATTTTATGTCTATTACTTGTCCATTCAAATGACTTAAAATTATAAATGACTTTAATATGAATTTAATAATAATGATTTTAAGACAAATGACTTTAAATGCTCACAACTTTTGAATAAAAATTTTTTTTTGGATGAAATTTGATATGTGCTTATGAATTTAAATTTTTGTAAATATAAAAAGAAATAAAATTTACATGGGGTTGTTACAATAGAAAAAAGTACTTATGATCATATTAGGTTAACTCTTATCACTCTGCTATTGTTATTGAAAAAAAAAAAAAAAAAAACTTTATGATATAGTTTTCATTAACATTTTTGAGTTAATTCTGGTCACTTGGATACAAAAATAAAAGAAGATTTCGATAATTTGTTAAAGGTTTTAGTAGTAATTTACAAGTTTATAATAACTGTTTGATATTTTACTAAACTGGATATTTGGTATTGAATAAGTTTACAAACTAACCTTTCACAATATATAAATTTACTATATAAGTACAATAAATATAATAAATGAGTATATAAGTTCATTCAGCAAGATTTTTAAAAAGAAAGTATGACGGAAGTTAAATGTAATAATAGCTTTACAAAGGTTTTTGGAATAATTTTGTGACAACTGGATACTTCATAATCGCTTTCCCAAAATTTATTGAAATTATGATTCAGAGGATTTGCAGGATTCAATAGAGATTTGCATTAATAACCTAGCTCTTTGTTCGGATAATCAATTGATATCATTTTTAAAATGTTTTACTGAAGTTTTACTGAAGTGTGTCCATACAACTTTTGTGTGTGTGTCCATACAACTTTTGCTGTTTTACTTTTACAAATTTTCTATATTTATGTCGCCCCAATTTAAATAACTCTTCAAATTCATACTTTGTTGCTAAAATCGCTGAAATTATTTAATTTAAAACTACATTTAATTTTAAAGAGTTTTTTTTGTTTGTTTGTTTGTTTACCTTATTGTTAGCTGTGTTTACTTACGTGTAGCATTTGTATATTGTTAGTTGCGCTTTAATAAATTTAAATATCTTAGGTTTTTCAAATTTGAAATAAAGTTTTTCAAAGTTCTCACAGTAAAAGTAGGAGTTTGTTCTCACAGTAAAAGTAGAAGTTTGTAATTTGTTTTGTAAAAGGAAAAAAACTTAGTAGAATTCAAAATGTAAGTGTTTTAATGAGAATTAATTTAATTTTAATGAGAATCAAAAAATATTTCATTGATAATATAAACTTTTGTTTTCCCAAAAATGTTTTCCCAAAAGAATTCGCTAAATTTGTTGAACTAATTTAATAAAATTAGCAAAATTTTGTGCAAAACATTTGAGTTTTCAAACATCAAAAAAACGTACCAGAAACCAACAGTTTTGCCAATGTGCTATATGGTTAATAGCTAGGAGTAGTTTAACATGTAGATCAAATATAGAAAGAAAAAAAAAGATAAAACTCAACTCAGAAGTTATTATCTCTCTTGGACTAAAGTTAAAGTTTTTAAATGGTGTTTAAATATTATTAAATTATTAAATTGAATAAACTTTTTTTTACAAAGTAACATAAAATTATGCATATAGTAAATCATTTATATATATATATATATATATATATATATATATATATATATATATATATATATATATATATATATATATATATATATATATATATATATATATAGTTAATAGGGTTAGGTTTGTTATAAAAATTCTTTCACATTTTAATTTCTAATTTTATTTTTATCAGGAAAAATGTTTGGTCCATTTATTGGCGCTAACACCATCGATAAAGTATGTGAGGACGCTAAGACAAAATCCATGAAAGTATCTGAGACCAACTTGAAATCTTCTGAGATGGTAAAGATTTGTCGTGGTGCATCGTTTTCTGAGATGTGTGATTATATTAACACAGGAGTAAGATTTCAATAATTTTTTATTCGTATTTAGGTAAATCTAATCAAGAGTAAATGTTTACGTAACGTAAGTATGTAAAACGCATAACGTAGGCATGTTACGCAAGCAAGAGCAAATGTTTTTATATAATAAAATAACGTAACTTATTTTATTAGATAATGAAATATGAATTAATGAAGATGAAAAGTGAAATAGACATAAAAAACTTTAAAAAATAATTTTTAAATTTTTTTGAAGAAATTTATGTTAATTTATGTTAGGTAATATTAACTGTATATTTACTGTAGCAAAGAAATAAATTTATATACAGCTAAAATTACTTCTGTCCCTCGTTTTCGTAATTTTTACCAAATCATGCTAATGTTTTTTATAATATATTTAAAACAAGGTTTAAATTTTTTTTTTTTTTTGCAATAAATATTTTTGAAGTAAGACAGGTGTTTGTAGGTAAAAGAAGCTGCGGAAGAAATTGCATTATATATTTATTTAAAAAAATCAGTTTTGCGCTGAGGCAGAGAATTTAGTATAAGATATGACGCTTCATTGCGTTTGGTTACTTGATTTTAATTAACAAGATATTTAAAAATATTTTGTTGTAAAATCAAATTTTAACAATAAAAAGTTTTTTTTTTTAATTTTATATTTAAGCATTGAGTATTGTATATTTATCATTTTTTTATTTGATGACGTAATTAATAATTTTTTTTTTTTAGAATTACAGAAAACTCGTGATTCATGGATGTGATTGGAGCAAAAATGAAACTAAAATTAAAAGTATGCATGTTCCTGGTGGACTTGTTGTATATATGTGGCTTAAAGAAAACTTAAGTGGACAAGAGGTAGGACCTTACACGGGACCAATTTCTGTACCCGTCGTTGATGGTGGTGAGCCAGAAAGTAACTATCGAATTATGTCTTTAAAAATTGTGAAAAAAAAACCTGTTGCTTTTAATTCCGTAAAAAGAAAATTTTCTGATAGAAATCTAAAAATCATACACATACGCTGAATTAATAAGATCGTTAATCATTAACAACAAATCGAACGAAAACATTGGATATGACAAATGATGAATCAGCAAAAAAATGATCGATTGTAAACTTATTTTATTATTTAATAAGTTTCAATGATTTTTTTGTTTTTGTTTTTTTATTACCAGTTTTAACAAATTATATGCAATAATCGTATAAAACTAGGAAAATGTTATATATAATCACCGTATCTACATTTGTAAAATATAATAATCTACCCACAATTTTTTAGAGAAACCTTTTTTCCTTTTATACAATTTAAAATATTTCTTGAGTGACGAATTACCAAGCTTTGAGATGAACAAACTACTGTTTTAGCTATGGCGTTCTCTAAGTAACAAGTCGTGATGCGCAAAGTTTAGAAAAAATGTTGTCGCCAATTTAATTCATAAATTTATTGACGCGGATCTTTTTTTCATTTTTTTTTTTTAGTTTAAGTTCGTTTATTTAAATTATTTTTTAGTTCATTTTTTGCTTTTTTCTTTATAAAAGTGAAAAAATGCTGATCAACAAATGAGTTGTTCAGTTGAGTCTATTGCTGATCTAAAACTGTAATTTCCAAGAGACGAAGAAGAGAAAAACGTTGGATAATTTATGCAAATTTAAAATTGTCATTGCATAGGCCCAAAAACTTCGAAAAAAATTTATGCAAAAGAACGATCAAAATGCACAGCATAACTTAGAAAAAATTCTTAGTTAAATTCTAATCTTTATACCCACTTTAAAATACTAAACGACTTTAATTCAAACATTCATCATTCTCCAGCTGAAATTCTTTTGACGAAAGCGATTTATTTTTAGTCCAAGATAATTTTGAGATTTTTGTGCATTCTAAGAAAAAATCCTTTGTATCGAACGAACTGCATCTGTCGCTATTGCACCAACGGGTTTTCCGTTATGTTAACGGATTGAAGTTCGTCGATATTAGTCCGTTGAAATAAAGGATTTATTCCTTTCGTACAACAAACAATTCGTTAAAATAGGGGGATTTCTACGCTAGACGACTTCTGCTGCTTTGGTAAAATAAAAAAATTACTATGTAATTGTATTGAATAATTTATTATTCCTTTTATTAAAATTACAAAATAGTCCTTATTTTTAGTATATATATTATTTTATGATATTCAACATCTAATACAAGCAGTATTAGATGTTGAATATCATACTAGCCATCATAGATGATACTGAATATGATGCCATCATAGGCACTATGCCATCATAGGCGCCTTTTCCCTAGAAAGGCGCCTATGATGGCATACCGGTCATATTTCATAAATATTGGTTATGGCAAAAAAGTGATTAGACCAACATGTTTATACTGAATTTTCATTAGTTTTAGTAAAAATACTTCCCTTATGCACAAATATTGTTTTTATAATCAACAAAAATTGATTTTGGGATTTGCTGTTGTATTTTTAATCCCTTTAAATATTTAAGATTGTGAATTTATTATTAACTGCGCAGAAATAAAATTTTCATGCTTTTTATTTCCAAATTTTGTGCAGTTAATGGGATACTTATTTTTTATTTTTTGAACAAGGCAGACATAGCTTGTTTAAATGAAAATGATGACTTCTTCCTATGATGGCATACTGACGAATTAGGTGTGTTGCAATATTGACGAGTTGAGAAAGTCTTTTTTTTTTCATAAAAATAACATATTTATTAGTGAAGTAAAAAGGAATTTTTACTTCAGTAAAAAATTTTGGGTTCAAAAAAAACATAAAACGCAATATCTCTTATGCGCATGCGCAAAATCCTACCTTCCTGCTGTGTAGCACGAAAGGGTCAGTTAGGATGATTACGCGTAATTACTGGCATTTCTGAGGCAAGACACTTAGGTTAAATGAAATCATCGAGTTGTTTTTGATGCTAACCAGCCCCATCCTACCCTATGCCATCATAGGAACAGTAGTTGCCTATGATGGCATACTTGTGCTTTTCTTTTAAATAAAAATAACTTATAAAAAAATAAAATTGATGAAAACTCCTGGGGTTATTGTTGTTTTACATGTAACAAAGAATGTATCCATGTCAAAACTTTTGTTTTTGGTCTTCAGTATACTGAATAATGAAGCTTCAAAGTTAAGTATGCCATCATAGGCGCCTTTCCCCTACTACTTGTACAAACTAACATGATCGGGAGAGGTAACAGTAAGTTTTAAAAACGCTTTAACTTTAAAATTAAAATATAAATATTTATAATAGTTTAATTCAATATAGAAACTTTCAATTGCAATAAAAGATAAAAAATTTAAATAAAAATTATAAAAAGTTTTTTAATATTTACTTTATTAATACAGTTATTTTTTTTATTTTTTTTTAAATTTTAATTCACCTCCTAAAGGCCGAGAAGGCCACTTCAGACGAGGAGACTACTTATTCGTGGCTATAACCCTCTCTCAACTCTATAACTCCGAAACACGAACCTTGATAAACAAGGCCGCTGCGCGGAGAAGCGAGTTGAGCGCAGTACTACCAGGGACGTGGTGAGGATCGAACTCCGAACCACTCGTTTATGAAGCAAGCGCTCTACCACTACACCACTACCGCATTATTATATCAAGGTCAAAAAACATTTATATAAAAAACACAGACATGCATTTTGCATTTCAATGTATTAAACAAAAAATGCACTATAAAAGATAACCTTACCTAGGTAAGGTTATCTTTTTATACACATCAATAGATGTAAAATTTTTACACACATTGAGAATCAAAGAAAAAAAAGTCTCTCGCCTTTTTATTTATTAATAACAAACACATTGAAAGTATTAATATTAAAATTTGAATTTAAAAAAAGTCTCTCATTTTTTTATTTAATAACAATAAACACATTAAATACTAGAATTTTTAGTACTAATATTAGAATTTAAATTTGATACCTTATGCCTGAATGCAGGCTGTCAAGCAGCAACTTTCAAAAAAAATGTCAAAAAATGACGGTATTTTGAGGATAAAAATGAAAAAAAAATGACTGATTTCATTATAAAAATGAAAAGTTCAATAATTTCATTTAGAAAATAACAAACAATATAACAAACAAAATCATCCGCCATCAATAATTTCTTTTAAAAATGAAAACCTCAACATCTTTTTGTTGTTTAACACAGAATAAAACGTTTTTTCCAAAGTCTAAAATAATTAACATAAATAAATAAATTTTGCTAAATAATTATAACTGAACTAACAGTTCAAGCTTTATTATATTTACAAAAACTTTTAAACTTTTTGCAACGTTTAATTAATCTATCCATTTCACGCTTACGTTTTCAACCAATATTTTCTCTCAACTTTTTCTGTTCATTTCTATGAGATGTAGCATTTTCAAGACTTCTTTTTGCGCTGTTTATCATTTCATGGGCAATTTTTATACCCATCATGTCTTCCTTAATAATGGCACTTTGCATGGATTTTGCTGCTTCATCGAGCATTCTCTGAACAAGCTGAAACTCAAGATCTGCATTTTTTTCATCATTCTTTAGACTTTTTTCCTGTTGATCTCAATTTTTATTTTGATTTTCAACCTTTTCAAGCATTTCTTTCTGTTCTTTTTCTTTATTCATTAGTTCTTGCTCATGAATATAATTTTTTCTTTTTTCTTCGTCTTCTTCAGCTTTTCTTTTTTTATATATTTTATGAGCATTTTGAACAGCTTGAACAATGACTTTGGAGAGTGCATCAACATTATATGCTCCTCTGCAACTTCTTGCATATTCTTTTGATATTCTCAAAGCCATTAATGTTTCATCATTTAGATTTAATCTCTCAGGAGTCAATGTATTATTGTTATCAGATAAACTTCGCTCAGCACTGGCATTTCCATTCTGAATTGTTAAACAGCTCTTAACAACTTTACTGAGATACCCATAATTTGTTTTTCCATATTCATTATTACATTCAAAAACTTTAGCCCAATAATGGTCTACTCTTTTTAGTTTTTTTGTATCTGAATCTATATACCAGTCTTTTGATATATTAGCTGCTTGGTATAATTTCCATTCATCTTTCACAAATGATACCTGTACAAAAATTAAAATAAAATTGTTATTGAGAAAGTGTTAACATTTAAAATTAAAGGAAAATTTAATTATATTAAAATTAAAATAGTTCGTTATCTAATAATTTACAAACAACAATTTCTGATTTGTAAATTAAAATAATAATTAGTAAATTTTGAAAATGTTAAATAATATATTTATATGGTTAATGTACTCTGCTATTTTAATTATATAGTAGATTATGTTAACAATATAAATACTTATATTATTTAAAATTTTCAAAATTTACTTATTATTAGTTTAATTTACAAATCAGAAATTGTTGTTTGTAAATTATTAGATAACGAACTATTTTAATTTTAATATAATTAAATTTTCCTTTAATTTTAAATGTTTTTTTTTGATTATATATATATATATATATACATATATATATATATATATATATATATATATATATATATATATATAATATATATATATATATATATATATATATATATATATATATATATATATATATATATATATATATATATATATTATATATATATATATATATATATATATATATATATATATATATATATATATATATATATATGATATATATATATATATATATGATATATTTTTAATTATGATTATATATATATATATACATATATATATATATATATATATATATATATATATATATATGTATATATATATATATATATATATATATATATATATATATATATATATATATATATATATATATATATATATATATATATATATATATATAAATATTCACCTCCCTTTCCGTAATTACATGTGGCATTGTAACTGCTATTCGCCCAATTGCATTAACAGTCCAAGGTTCTGATCTCATTTGAGCACCCAAACAAGTCATATCTTTTAATATCTGCGAATCAAGTGGAAGTTTTTTTGCAAGTGTTTTACAACAGATATATATCCATCTCTCATTTGCTGTAAGCAGACAAATATTTTTTTTTCACATGATATTTTGTTCACCTAAAACATATTTATATTGAAAATCTACATCAATGAAAATGATGTAGAACTTAATTTTCAATAATAAAATATCTAATGAATAATACATTAAACAAAATAGTTTTTTATTGCCTAGTACACTTACTTATACATAATTACCAAGTACACATTAACCAGGTAGCAAATGTGCAACTGGTAAATGTAGCAAATGTGTACCTATCAAAAAATACCTGGTTTTTAGCTTCCTCACTAAAATCCATTTTATTCAAATCAAGGTGAAGAGTTGAATCGGAAGAATCAATTTTTAAAAGATCTTTAGTAAGCTTTCCATTAACAACAGTCGGTTAAAGGAAACGTTTCATTAAAAATATTAAAAGATTTTTCATTTTATAAAATAAAATATGAACAAGTGGTCCTTCATCTTGAAATATTGTCAAATATTTCTCAAACAAGGGAGCTAAACCAATAAGGAATTTGATGGACACAAGTAACTCCTAAAATAATCAATTCTCTACTATATGTAATAATTCAAAAAAATAATAATAAGAATAACTTTAATTACATTTTCAGTTTCCTTTAGACTTCTTTGAATCCGAATATAACGCTTGTTGTTTGTCAGTGTCTTTTTATACTCCTTTTGTTTTGGAACATATTCCAAAAAATATTTCTTGGTGTCTTCCAACCTTAATAGAACCTTTACAAGTGAAGAAGAAAGAGTGAGCCATCTAGTATTGACAAAACGAAGAAAAAATGTTTCATCTTCAATAAAAATGCAATCTGATAATTTTTTAAAATCTTCTATTTTACAGGGTGCATTCTAAAACAGAAAAAAATTATATAGAGACACTACACTTTATTAGCTAGTCGTATAATAGACTATTAGAATAAAAAATAATAATAATGTAAGAAAAATAACTTCATAGGTAAAATAAAAAATTTTCTTTTAGTATTAATTGCAGTAAAATCCCGTTAAGTTAGTCTCTCACAGGGAATAGATAAATAGTCCGACTTAGCAAATGTCCAAATAAGCTAAGCTTTTTGTATGTATAGAAAGCTTAAAGGGAATTGAAAATCTGTTCGATTTAGTACAAATCCAACTTATCCAGGGTCTGAAATAATGGGATTCTACTGTATAAAATTACTCAAAATCTTGCAAAATATATGAAGCTTTTTGTCGACTCATAGTAAAACCTTGACTTATTTTACAATCTGGAAACATTCTTTGGAACAATATTGGTGTGTTGTCACAATGTCTTAAGGCAAGATCATTCTCTGCCACTTTAAAAAGTCACATGGCTTCTGCAGCAGAAATTTTTTCATTTATAGAAAACTCTAATTGTATAACTTTTTCTCCCCCAATCGAGTTTTTGTTAGAATCTGCATATAAATGACGAGCAGTTTTTGAAAATCTTAGAACAGACATTGACTTATGTTTAGGTTTTGAAGAATGCTGATATTGTGCTTGGAAACCAACTGAACTAAATTTTAAATCACTTTTGCATAGTTTACAGATAGCATATTCAGAGTTTCTTTTTTCAGCCCATAATTGGATTTTCACTAGATTTTTGTCTAACTTTTCCAACCACACATCATTCCACTTAACCATTATAGTATATAATCTATTGATAAATATACTAAAAACTAAATATAAAAATCACTAACTTTACTAGTTCTATACTATAGAATGATTTATTTTTTAAAATAATAACACCAATTTAGCAATACAAATGGATAACTAAAATTAAAATGTGAACATAAAAGACTGTAACTGTTATTATAAAATAGTTTTGAAAATTAAATAAAAAACGTCTAAAACAACTTAAAAATATCAAGAACAGCAATTCTAAGTATTTAAAAAAAACTTTAAGGTGTAAAAAATTCAAAAAAAAAATTAAAAAATGACAGAAACTAACAAAAAAATGAAAAAAAATATAGAAAAAAAAAAAAAACTCAAAAAAAAAAATGAAAAAAATGACGACTTGACAACCTGCTGAATGCCACATGTCTAAAGTAGCAAGTTCTACACTGTTAAATATATTGCGCATTTTTTACGGAAAAGTTCCGGCAGCTGCCGATGACCAAACTACTTGTTATTTTACGGAAAAACACATTGCATGTAAATGGTTAACAAACGGATTTTTTCCGTTAAAACACAATGGGTAGCTTGGTCGACCAAGCTACCCGTTGTTTAACGGTAAAAACCCATTATGTTTTTACCGTTAAACAACGGTAAAAACACAATGAGTTTGTTAACCATTTGTTAACCATTTCCGTTTGTTAACCATTTGTTAACGGATGACCGGTCATCGGTAGCTGCCGGAACTTTTCCGTAAATAAACAGATACTTCCTTTTAAATTAAACAGTTAAATGGTATGTTTTTGAAAATATAAATCAATGGTATGTTTTTGAAAATATTTTCAAAATATTTTTCTGAAAACAAATTTTCTTTGATTTACATAAAAAATAGTAAAATTTCCGTGATTTACATTTCTTTTGAACAGCAAATGCACAAGTAAATAAAAAATTAGTAAAGTAATAAACACTTTCTGCAAAATTATTAACAATTTTGATAAAATATATACAAGCACATAATAATATAAATATATTAGATATCCCTATATACATTTACAATATAGATATACTTAACAGGGGCGGATCTAGCATTTTAAATGGATGATGCGAAAGTTTTTGATCAACATTTCCCCCCCCCCCTCCCGCAACCTCTCTAGGGTTCAAGTATAGTCAATATAAAAAGTGGAGAAACAGCTTTTTTTACAAGTGGCGCCGCTGTTTATATCATTGAATAATAACTAAATTTTGTATTGCTTTTGGAGTACCCATTTTTAGCAGAAATTTTTACAAATGTTGCCTTGGCTATTTTGTTCATAAATTAGACATGTAATTTTAAGCCTAATTCACTCAACAAAGTGCACCAACGAGAAGGTAAGCCATAGGACTTTGCACTTCATTTGTATACTGTCATTTTGCCCAAGGTTAGCCCTCCATTTCTGGATTATTTCCTTTTCTTGAGAGGCACGTAGTGTAAAGTAATATTGCCTAAGGTTGGCCCTCCACTTCTGGACATATATATATATATATATATATATATATATATATATATATATATATATATATATATATATATATATATATATATATATATATATATATATATATATATATATACATATATATATAATATATATAATAATATATATCATTAATTTTATGTTATATATATAGTTAATATATGTATAATAAATATATGTATATATAATATATATATATATATATATATATATATATATATATATATATATATATATATATATATATATATATATACATAATATATATATATACATATATATATATATATATATATATATATATATACATATATATATGTATATATATATATGTACATATATATATATATATTTATATATATATATATATATATATATATATATATATATATATATATATATATATATATATATATATATATATATATATATATATATATATATATATATATACATATATACACACATATGTATATACATATATAAACGTCTTTCACCTGACTTTGAAAAAATGTCAATGACTCATTCAACATCTGGAAAAATTTCTTGATGTATGGACATTAATGCTAAAGAGTTAAAGCAAGACTCAATCATATTACTTGTATAACTGAAATACTTCTTTCACATTGACAAGTTGTTATTGGAATTATTCCTAAAATTATAAATACTGTCCTTATATTTGGAAAACCGCTTATGTCAATGGACTTTAAAGTACCAGCAACAGTTGAAGGAATACTTGATTGGTTTTCCCAAAATAATTTCCATAAATCTAACTCAGCATGTATTGAAGTAAAATGAGGCATATCAGATGAATAGAAATTCAAAAATTCATAAAAATTAGATTTCTAAGGTTTTTTAACTTGTATTCTGGACAGTACAGTTGAAGGAACTGCTGCTAGACCTTTATAAACAAACAAGCCATTTTCTAGAAACCTATTATCTAGCTTATTAATAAGATGTTCAAATAATGGAGAAGTATTGCTGTGTTTAAAATAGTCACAAACTGTATTTGTTGGATAATTATCCCGGTAAACCTAGACATTACACAATCTAGTTCTCACTTCTTGTATATCATGAGTTTTGGCCAAACTAAGAGCGATAGCGTACCATTCAGTGTGATAAATATCAATTTTATTTTTAATTTCTAACAACAGATTTTTTACATTAGTTATTTCAAAACACTGCTGGGATATTTCAAAAGATTTAGTTTGAAGAGTTACAGTAATTGCGTTAAAAAAATCCATTAATTGTTTTGTAATAACTAAACTTACAATAAAAGAGAAATCTGTTAATAATCTTAAAAAAGAGGAGGATTTGGAAGCAGTTTCACTGCTATATTCCTTTGACTCATTTAACTCCATCTCGTCTAAAGCATAAATAATAGGTATAAAATTATCAACAAAAAAAAAACATCAACACCTCTCAGCTTTTGAACCCATCTTGTTCGACAATTATCTATAATTTTTTCTTGATTTGGACTTAAATATTTTTTGAGACAGTTACTACTTTTAGGAGATAAGTTAAAAAATAAGAAATTGCTTTTACTTGGCCAAGAAAATTTTTTACTTTTTGAACTTGGCATGCAGCTGCTACTACTAAACTAAGTCTAGGGCTTGCACAATGAACAAATATAGCTTTATGATTAAGAGTTTTTATTCGAGAAGCATTTCCTTCATATTTACCTGCCATACAACCCGCACCGTCATACCTTTGACCTCTACAATTTTGAATATCAAGTCCAAACTCTTGAAGTGCTTTAAGTACATTTAGAGACTAAGACCAGATGTACCAGTCTTGCAATCAATAAATCTTAAGAAATCCTCGCAAATCTCATAATTTGAATTTACATATCTTAAAACAAGTAACATTTGTTCAGTATTTGAACAGTCAACTGCTTCATCATAAAGAATTGAAAAAAAAATTGAATGCTTGACATTTTTTATTGAAATTTCCTCAATTGCTTTCCCACAAGAATCAATAAGTTGGTTTTGGGTAGTTTTTGATATATAGGTTGCATTTTTTTGACTTGAAGAAAGATGATTAGCTAATATTTGATCACCAGCATCAACACAAAAATTTAAAAGCTCGTTGAAGTTACCAATTCCAACTTTTTGTGTAGAAGATTCCCCAATATCAGGATGATATTTGCTAGCATCAC